AGAGAGAGAGAGAGAGAGAGAGAGAGAGAGAGAGAGAGAGAGATTTTTTTTCTCTCATTAATGATTTCATGTGATTTTAGGTTAGTGACCCAGTGGCTGCTGAGTTCAGTTTAAACACGCAGATGATCTTACTCTCCAAACGGATGCTCTGGCTCTCAGACGGTTCCATGGGCTTTGGACAGGAGAGCGACACAGCTTTCTCCCAAGGTAAAGTACAACAAATCCACAACAAACAAAAAAACAATAACAACACGGAGTTCCTGTGAGAAATGGAAATCAAACAGATGTCTGCTTGTTTTTCTGTGCTTAGCACTCTGAATTTATTTCTCTTCTTTTGATGAAAAATAAATCTGTGTACAATTTGTGTTGTTGACTCAGCAGATTTGTTCTAATTTATTTTCTAACTCTGGGAGACAAATTGAAAGGAAACCGAAGCCTCTGTGAAGTGTCTTTTTGGCTTCTTTTACATCATCTTTCTAAGCCAGCAAATTAAAAGAAAGCAAGAATTCAGTTTGTTTCAAGAAGGCTTAGAAAAAACTTTACAAAGTTTTTATTTATTTGAGCATAGAAATTTTTGTTTCTGTCTTGAATGAGAGATTTGAACATTTTTTTTATATTGCTTATAATCTCAAAATGTTTTTTTAATAATATAATTAGTTTTGAAACCTAAAAAAATGACTGTTTTTCACCAACACCTCTCCAAATAATAATAATAATAATTAAAAAATTTGCACATAAATGATTTCATGTATTAATTAAAGCTAAATTTCTCGTTTGTCAGGGGATACTATTTATGGCCGAGTGATGGTGGATCCAGTGCAAAACTTGGGTGACTCCTTTTTTTGCAACATAGAGAAAGTCTTCCTGTGTACAGGAGCTGATGGATACGTTCCAAAATACAACCCCAGCAGCTTTGAGTTTGGCTGTCTGGCTGACGCTCCTTCACTGCTGTACAGATTCAAAATCATTGTAAGTAACAAAATGATGAGTTTGCATCATGTGCTCTGGTTCTGTTCATACATCTATCCTTTTTCATGTCACTTCAGGATAAGGCTCAACCGGAGACCCAGGCCCGCTCATTTGGCGATGTGGCCTTTAATGCTTTCCTGGCAGTGGATGACCCCGGTGCGTTACCTTTGGTGAGGCAACCTGGAGCAGATGGTTTCAGAATGGATTCTACCGCTTTGTTTCAGGTCAGTAAAAAGGTTAATTATGAAGAACATATTCACTTATATTTTTCGCTCTCCTATTTTAATAATAATTAGAAAATAAAACAGATTCACTGACCAGCTTTCTGTTAGAGCTGAAAGTTTCTTGGGAGTGAATAATCCAGTCTCCATGTTTGCTGGTCTTTAACTACCTTGGATGACTCACAGTCTCTGCCTTTATTCATGTCCACATTGCTTCTTCTAGTCACTGAGTCTGTTTTTCAGCTTAAGAGGAAACAAAATCAATAGATTCACAGGCAGGAGGTGTTCTCCACTGGTATGAAAGCTTTTTTTGTTTTTTTGTACTAAATTGCACATCGACTGAACATGTTATATGTTTAAAATGAGGTTATATTTATATTTAACAAGATAAATGCATAAAGCTTAGTTTTTAGGTCTTTTTTCGTGATTTGTTAAAGTTCACTCACTACATGAAAATCACACGAGTCAAGAAATCCTTGAAATGATAAATGCGTGTTCTTGTGACTTGATTTTTCTTTGTTTTGTAAAAAGAAAAAAATCACATTTAAATAAGTCTATTTTCATCTTATTCACAGTGGACAGATATGTTAAGTATTTCAGAATCAGAATAAGCTTTATTATCATTGTACCGAGAGCAAGAATATGTCCATCCAAAAGATGGTTGAAGTGCACGTAGCTGCTGCTCTTTTAGAACGCGGCCTCTAATCCTTTTCAGAATACTTTTAGATAGAAAAAGGATAAGAACCATGAGGATGGATAGTAGTATTACAAAAAAAGATCTCTTCACATCTCGTCATTTTATCAGATAAGCCACAATTGTTGAATTTCTACAGGCAGACTGTTTTTTTCTTGTCAGCCTTGAATTCTGCTGGAACTTCCTCAGTCCAAAATGTCCAGATTTATGGGTAATCATCTCCACTGATCCTCGTTACGAGCCTCCCCATAATTTATCCCAAATGCTGTTGAGTCCCAGAACCAGCAGGTGGCCTGCGATTCTCACAAATCGCCTCCATCTTATGGTTTAGCTCTTTAATCAGCTGATTTTGAGTCCTCACAGCATGAACCAAACCTTCACACAGTCTCGGAAGCTTGCCATGACTGAAACTGCTGCCTTCTTCAAGATGATAAAACAGAGCCCCACCAATGCCAAATAGCAGAACCCCTGCTAACATAAATCCAAATATATAAACGTCTTCAGCATCCTCCCGAGACAGAACTGAAAGGCACATCAACTGAGCTCTGATGTACCCCGCAGCATGAGTCTCAGCCGGGCAAGAGGGTTCTTCAGGACTCTGTTTTTTTTTTTTTTTTTAAGATTTTGTCGATTTTGTTAAAAGTCCAGCTTGTCAGATCCATAATAGTATTTTTTGTTTGGGAGATGTGTACCAGGAGCTCCGAGAGACACAGAAAGCAGAAGCATGAGGAAGAGGAGAACAGGGGGAGGGAGAGGAGAAGCATCTGTCTTGAGTGAGAGCCAAAGTAGAAAATAATTTTCTACATTTCTAATTTCAAGTGGAAATTGATTCAAACTTTATTTAAAGGCTGTCTTGTGTTCTTGATGAAAATAAAAATCTAATTCTGGGGTCAATAATCACAGTTCTTACAAGTAAAATTGGTTCCAAATTTTTCAGAATTGGACCCACAAAATAACAGCAGCAGAAACATGCAATCTCATCTATCACTAATTTATTTAATATTAATAATAGTATAATATAGTATAATAGTATTTAAGTAAATGCTGCTAAAAAAAATTGACTAAACAATTAATCAATGACAGTGCAAAATTTATCCTACCATTTTTGTTAATCGTTTCTCCTTTCCACGTCATGAGAGCAGTTCAAAATGACTGTGCAGTTTTTAAAGCCTAGTTTATGACCACTGTTTCTGTTTTGTCACACTTATTTTAAAAACAACGGGGAAAAAATCAATCCCAAATATAAAGTGGTTGCTGGTGATGATTTCAAGACCCTCTACTTGGATTTTTGATGCATGGTGGGTTCCCTACCTCAACTCTAAGAACAAATGTTAAAAAGGCAAGCCCATGTATAAGTGGTATCTTTAAATATATACATGTACCAGGCAAACCCATCCCCACTATACTGCACTAGTGTGACATCTAGTGGTTTAACAAAAGCTACACATTTATCTCATACAGACGGAATACTGCAACAATTAATTATGTGAGAAATTGTGTTTTGGTATAATTCATGTATACTTCATTTGATACCCTCCTCACTCCCTTACCACAAACAGACAGACCATAACATGGGTTCTTTTGTTCTTGCCAGGTGGCTGCGGGGAGAGAGTGGTACATCCACGCCATCTATACCGTCCGTTCCCGGGACAATGCTAATCGTGGCATCGGGAAAAGAAGCCTGGAATATCATGTGATGAGCCAACACTTGAATCCCCTTCAAAAGGGTCAGCATCGCACCAGAAGATCAGTGGATGATGTGCCAGACATCGTAAAGAAGATCGGCGAGAACAGCAACCGTGGCACCAACATCCTGCACATCGCTCTGAACCGAAGCAGTCAGTGGAAGACAAGTCAAGACGGGGAAATCTCCACAGAAAGAAACATCCCCGATGCGGTCAACCAAAAGGACAGTGACGACAAACTGGTGTTAATCATCGGTGTATTTGTTGGACTGCTTCTTACCGTGCTCCTCATCATTATAGTGGTGGTGGTGCTACGAGCCAAGCAAGAGAAGAAAGACGTGCCCGTCAACTCTGACAGCGCAGAGCCCATGATGACTCAAAGCCCCAGCAGCACTGACAGTTCTGAGGTCTAACAGGTCTAATGAGATCTAATGATTGAAAGATTTAACCGATCCTTTTATTTTGCAAGTGCCTCATATTTAGCTCAAATAAATAAAGACTGTGTGTGAAGCAACACGAACTACAAGAGCCTAGACACTATTCAGAAAACTACTTGAAATACTGCATCACGTCCAAAGCCAGGGAGTGATCTGGACACTGAGCAGAAGATGGACAGTCAGTGTTTGCAGCTGTTACAAGGCACTTGTCAAGTTGTCAGCTCTCACTTACTGTTATTGATTGGCGTTTGTTGCCAACTGATCCAAAAAAAGAGTGTTTTGTTTCCAAAGGTGCTACAGGAGATTCCTCTCAACTTGAATGCCAGTGGCTGTTTTGCTGATTAGGTCAAGAGAAGGTGGATTGTTTTTGCCAACTGCTGTAGTTATTGAACAGACTTTGGACATTTAAGGTGCACCAAGACACTAACTGCAATGTGTTTTCACTGAGATAATGGATCTCTTTGCTGTCTTGAATTGATTGTCTTTAGTTTCAGTGTGTGCCTAAGAAATTCCAGGTTTTTGAGGAGTTTTTTTTATTGTAAAATGTTCGTCCAATGTGATCAGTAAAACGTGTATTCTAACGAAAGAAAACTAATTTGAATGGAAATAGATGTGTTTATGTTTTGCATGCATTTATTCTATTCTGAAAAGTTTAAATGATCATTTGAATCTTTGGAACTGTGTCCGATCTGCTGTGCTTCACCCAGGCTGCATTTTACTGTGTATCCCGGTATTTATCAGTAGCATACTGTTGTTGGGACATTTCTTCTAATATCTAGATGCTAAAAACACTGTATGATTTTAAGATTGTATGTTTGACAAGTGGCATTAAATCAGAGAAGAGTACACATTTCATAAGATAAATAGTATTGAAGTGACTTAAGACAGCTGGTCTGCAGTGTATAAAGTAATATAGTAAAGGTTCAAAACGATTTCCAAGAGGAACCATTTTCACTCTTGATGAAATAATTTGTACACCAGGGCTATTCAACTAAATTGCTCAGGGGCCCCCAGTTACCAAAAGCCAAGAGCTCAGGGGCCAGATATCCAGCAGTTATTAAGTAAGCTTGTTTTATGGTTTAAAATCTAGTATTAATTAAAAATTAACCCATTGGTGGGTCGAGCTGAGTTCACTTGTGGGCCTGATATGGCCCCCAGGCCACCAGTTGAATAGCCCTGTTGTACACCTTTTTGAGTGTTGAAATGTGTAGAGATAACCATAACAGTTAATTCATTTTACAGCAAAACTTTGTGCTTTTTAATTAGTTTAAATCACACTTTACATTAAGGGAAACACGTTTTATCGTCTATTGTTGTTTGCAGAAAATCTCAAAACAATGTATTAGTATTAAATTTAAGTTATTTTTCAGTGCATTGATTTTTTTCTTTTGGGGGGGGGGGGGGCATGAATGCGTGTTTTGTTTTGTTCTCTGTGGTCTTTTATAAGGGGCATCGTTATTTCATAAAAAAAGCAACTGTGCCAAGTTTCTCAAATAATCACTGTGTAAATAATGTAAACCTTTCAACAAGCTTTATGTTTACTTGTGCTTTTTTCTCATATTAGGGCACAAATTCTGAATACCTCTCCATGCTATTATATACATTTTTTCTTTAATTTGTTTTAAATATGTTGGGATTTTATGCAGTTTTATTGTGAGATTGAAAACAATTCTATGCAACATGTAATGACTGTATTACATGCTTATCAAGTACTTTTGGTTCATACAACTATCACTCTGTATGAATGTCATGTTCTTTTATTACATTATGATTTTTTTAATTATGCTCTAATGCTTTGCCTTTATTCTGTGGATTTAATGTAGATTTCTGTTTGTATATAGCTTTTACATATGTACCACTTGGAGGATTTGGGAAATGGTTATTATTAAAAAGGCACATGCATTTGTTGTAAGAATTTGTAATATAGACCTAAAGCACAACCTGGTCTGCAAATAAATACTTTTTGTCAAAAAAAACAAAAAACAAAAAAAACAGTTTCAGTTGTAATGAATTAGCTGAACAAGTTTTGAAATGTTTTGAGAAGAATGGTGCAAGGTTTAAAAACAAATTCAAGTGTATATTTTTTATACATCTTCCATCTTTTTTATTGGTTATCTTTATTATAAATGTATTTTTGTTTAATCTAAACAAAGATGTAAACTATGGTTCTGGAGTTACACACGTTTTGGTGGCTTTGACTAAAAATAATATGGAGATGAATATATTTATAGAAAAACTAATTTAAGCATTTTTCCGGTCTAAATATATGCAATTTGCAGATAAAAATTACAACATATCAATACTAACAACACGTGGAGCAACACGATACTCAGTTTGCTTAAGTAGTTAGTTAACTTGTTACCTTCTTCTGAAATCCATCAGAAAACTGAACATTTTTGACTTTTGCAGCAAGTTACTGAAGCAAAACTGAATATTTTGCTTACATCTTAATTATTATTATAAGTCATTAAATAAGGCCATCTGTGAAATTATGACATCATTCCGCTAAGAACAAGTCAAAATTTGCATTTGATTAAATTTGTTTTCATTACAGATTTGTAGTTTCTGCCTTTATTATAAAACATTCAGAGTCACAAATAAATATTCAATAAACTGGCCTAATTACTGTTCATTCTAAAAATACACTACATGTGCTTAATTCTTCCAAATTAAAATTTTATCAGAAAATATTTACCACAGCCATTTATATTTTTTCTTCCTAAGTTTAGCCTTTCCTTTATTCTAACGTGTAAAACTAAAAAAATATACAGTAAACTTATTGATAAGAGTATGATAAAGCATTGTTTTATACCATTAGAATTTATATAAAACCTAATGAGTTGTGTTTTAAGCGTTGCATCTTTGATCAGACTTAGTGTGAAGAGGAGCAGAAATGTCTCCGACTAGACCCGTCCTGTAAAATCAGCTAAAATAGGAAGGGTAGGCATTCATTACGACAGCTCTTTAAATCATGTGCTTTTATTACCAGTGCATATTCATAAAGAAAACAAAGATATGAGAAGGGTAAAATACTTTAGATACATCTAAAAAGGGGTGAGCATTTTGCTCCTGTTTGGCAACAGGTCAAATAGATGAAAACCAGCAGCGTCTTCTCCGACTAATTTCTCTCATATACCTGGCATTTGGTTATTAAATAAAGCACTGATAGTAAGTTTGAACAAGGAAACAGTCTTGACTGCAATTGTTCTCTGCTCTGCTGTGGCACTTCTTTTCAGATATTACATCAAATGAACACGATGGGGAGCAGAAGCAACAACAGCACCACCAGTGGATGAGTTCTTGCACTGAAGGTATATTTTGGCATTATGACAGAATTAATGTTTAAGAGACAAGTAGACCACAAACGTATCAGTTCAGGCAGTTTTCTTAAGCGTTCATGTGTTCGTGAGCCGATGTCATGGAACAAATGGACATTCACAGCAATAAAAGTTGGTAAGGTTTGTTTTAAAGTCACAAGAAACAAACACCTCAAAACAGAATTCATTTTCCATCTCCATCATTTTCGTGACATTAGATGCAAAGTACAATTTTTCAAGTTGGCTGCATTGGTGCATATTAAAAATTAAAACATCTAATGTTGTTGCACTAACACTTCCACCAGATTCAGAAGTGTTTCCTGAGAATTGTCATTGTGTTACAGCACTCATTGAATAAAGCTGATCTTTTGTTCAAGAAAAAAATTATAAACTGCTTGTATTGGTAAAAAATAAAAATGGCTTCCAAAATCAAAACAAAGATGGGTTATGTGTGGAAATAAGCTGCCCACCTGTGTCAACGCTGATATCAAAATGCTGAATTCTGCTTTGGGGGAAATGTCCCCTTAAGGTGTAAGGTTTCACACGAAAAAAAAAAAAAAATTAAAGAAACAGAAAAAAATATTTTCTTAAAGGCTGAGCTAGTAAAACATTAAATAAATTAGCACTTTACATTGTTTTTCCTTTTAAAATAACAGTTATGAACAAAAATGATCATTGTGCTCCTTCCGTAATGACTCTCGTCTTTAATGCATGTGCTGAGTATGTGTCCAAAGCTCCCTTTTCAACAGCTGCCACACACGTAAAGTCCAGTGATCCTTCATCATCTGCCACTCTCTGAACAGGCAAAAAACAAAGAGTTTTTAAAGCATAGCACTTACATACAGCGTGATCTAATATGTACAATGTACACTCATGTACAATATATACAGTACATACAGCAAACCAATGCACAGATGGTGGTTATATTTCATGACAGATGCAAGTAAATAAAAACATTTACATTTCATTGCTGCAGAAGCATAGCTTTGTTCATTTCACTGAAAGCATTAGCTACCTTTTGGTCAAAACAATTGTGTTGTTGCCTAGAAACTGGGGGAAAAAACCTTCATGCATCTGAACAGGTCTGAGCTGATTAAATACTTCAGTCTATATTCTAAAGTGACAAACTGGACAGAAAGTCTGGTTTTATAATATCACACAAAAGCCAGTCCATACGTTTATGTCAGTACTTGTCCCGAGGACGCTACGTTACTGAGCAAACCTTCAATACACATAATAAAGATAAAACAAAGTGGCAATTATATCTGACAAATATGCTGATGTGCACATCGAAAGGTTCTACTGGAAATGTCATTGTGCCCGATGAAATACATTTGTTGCGTCATCAGTGGTTATGGCTGTCTCCAAGCTCTACTGCAGGTAGCGGTAGACTTTAAAGCAGTGGTTCCCAGAGTCCGCCACCGCCACATGGCCGTCAGATGTAAGGGCCAAGCCCTGCGGGCCATAAAGTGGATCAGCGGACGTGTTGATGTAGGACAGGAAAGACCCTGAGCTGTCGAACACCTACAGCATAGAACAAGATGGGTGAGTACCTTGTACAGCTTTAAATCCTCTTCATGATTGTTTTTTCAAGCTAACCTGGATACGACTGTTGCCCCAATCAGCAACAATGATGTTTCCATTGGCATCTACGGCCACGCCCGTTGGTGCATTGAACTGGCCGTTCCCCTCACCATGAGAGCCAAATTTATACAGGAACTCCCCATCGGCATTGTAAACCTGTCAACAAGATTAAACACAAAACGAATAAGAGATCTGTTACACTTGATGGAAAATATGCACAATAAATACAAAGCATACACATTATTTTAAGCAACCAAGTTAGTTAGGCACAGCAGCCTTTTGTTCTTCATGCTCAAAGGTTTTTTTTTGGTTTAATCCACCTTTGCTTGTTGTTAAAATTTATTAAGATAAATAATGTGCGCATAAACTGGCAAAAACTCGTACCTTGACTGAATGGTTATGAAAATCTGTGACCACTATCTCGTTTTTGTTGTTTACAGCCACAAAGTGAGGACCTGAAAGGAGCCAAGGGGACAGAAAAGGGAAAGAGTAACTATGAGTCATCGACTGTTTTACAACAGGAGAGGAAGTTCCACACTATTTTTGGACTTGGGAAGAAGATGGAAAAAAAAAAAGATCTCAGAGAGAACATATGGGCTGATGTGGGGCATGATCAATTAACATATAGGAAGGTTTATTTCATCAGACCACTCTCACATTGAATTGATTACTTACTGAAAACAGGGCCAGATTTACTAAGCTTTGATTCCAGTGCAATGTTTGCACCACTTTTCTCTAAAAGAAAAGAAAAGGGTTCAAGTGAGAAAAGAAATGTCAAGCACGGGCGAGCTACAACGGAAATAAAACACTGTCAAACTGAAAGCTAAAAACGCAAGCAAATAATTGTTCTTACTCAGTCATGCCCAAAGATAAACACCCAGTATTTTCATGCATCAGCGTGTATTGTAAATCTTTGCCTGTTAATGGTTCCGTTCTGTGCTAGGCTGATTAGGTGTGCATTAAATTTAACATAAACCAAAAACATGTAGGTGTACATGCAGGAAATGATTAAAGGTTAAATTAAAGGTGGTAAAGGAAGTGATCACAGAAACATTCCTGAAAAAAAACAAATAGAATGTGTAAATCTGGCCCAATCACATGCCTTCATACCTGCTGCTTGATCTAATGAGAAGATCTGCCCTAGCTACAACACAATACCTGCAAAGTGTCTCTCTGAAGTTCCTCTGGCTCCGAACTTGGTCACCAACTTCCCATTGGATTGGAAGATGAAAACACAGCAGGCTTTATTATCAACCGTGATTATATGTCCATTCTTATCCACAGCCACACCTTTGGGTCCCATCAATCTTCCAGCGCCGATTTTGTTCTGCGGTAAGCAAGCAAGGCAGTTTGGTCATTTATTTATTTATTTTTCACATTCATGTGACAGAAATGTTTTTTTCAGCCTCACCTTGAATTTTCCATCTGAGGAGAAGATGCTAATCCATCTATTGTCGTAATCGGCTACAATAATGTCACCATTCATGTCGACAGCCACACCCGTTGGGCGCTGGAGTTGTCCTGGTGATCGGCCCCTTACTCCAAACCTCATCTTAAATTGGCCATCATTGGAAAACACCTAAATATCAAAAATAAATCAGTTTTCCAGAATCTAGCTGATGAAAAAGATTTGTTTAAAAATCAAAAAAACAAGTAAGAACCTGTATACACTGGTTGTTGCTGTCAGCAACAACAATCCGCCCATTACTGGAGGCAGAAATCCCCTGAAGGTTTGTGAATTCTCCTTTGTCTCGCCCTCTCGTTCCTGCCAAGACAGAGTGCTTTAATGTTTCCAATTAAATACAAAACATTTTATATTTCATTTTGCAGTGTAATCCTCATGATCCGTCTCAACAGTCTTAGCTTTTATTTAGAAAAAAGGTCTGTTCACATGTATAAAAACACCATACAGCTTGGCTGAATAAAATTGAATTAAATATCTGCCTTAACAGATTCCCACCCACCAACTCTGTAGATCAGCTCATCTTCTATTGGGTTTTCCTTTTTCTTGGTGGTGCTGTACATGCTGGAGGGCCTGCGCACAGCCTTCTGTCGAACATGACCTCCTCCTCCACTCGGGGACTTCACTCTTCTCTTCACATCATCTGGCGACTGCAGGACGTCTGACGGCTTGACGGCACGCAAACGGAACGGACTCCCCCGCACAGGCTGGTGATATAACAGCAAGGAGAAGGTGAACTCTCCCTCAGAGCGGATGGCGTACCCGACCTCGTAGGTGCCATTCTTGTTGTCCACCACCTCCGCTTCCGTGCACGCGCCGTCTGTAGAGACTATTTCTGCTCTGAGAGCAGCGTTCCCAGTTTTCACCAACTCTCCATCCTTGTCTTTAGTGGTGACAGTAATGGTGGTGTGCTGGCCAACCACTGCGTGTCGCAGGCCTTCACCGGTGGCAACACTTGTGTGGCCGACAGCTCCTGTTGTGATGAGGACCCCCAGGTTCTGAATGGAGCGCCTCAGTCCATCCGTCTCTACTTGGCATTCTAAGTGTCCATTTTCATGTGGATGCTCTGGAAAGCTGTGTCTCGCCAGAGCACTGACCCGCTCACCCATTTGTTTCTGAACCAACAGGACCTCAGTGGCACTGCCATGACTGAGGGCATGCTCTGTGAAGTTGCAGCTGCTTTCAATGTTTTCTTTGCCCTGTAGTAAAGAAGTCAGCTGACTCTGAAGCACCTAACAGACAAATGCAGGAGGAAAGTCGGTTTGCACTGATAAGGTATTACTTAAGCAACAATATGGAAAACATTCTAGTGTTTTCTAACCTTCTGCTTGCTGCTGCAGATGTTTTCCACCTCAGTAATGAGAGCAGTCTTGCGTTGGTGTAACGCCTTCTCAAGCTCATCAAAAGTATTACTGATTTCATTCACCGCATCGTTTTTCCTCCCCGTTAGTTGCTTTGAGATCTCATTAACAAGCTCAATGGCAGCTGTCAGCTGAGGTAGTCTGCCAGAGGAAAGACCAACACTGAATAAAACTTTCACATCAGAGATATTTCTTACCTTTAATCGTCTACAATCTTCCAAAGGAAACAAACTTATTATTGCTTAAAACCCTGAACGCCACACCTGTTGCGCACAGTGTCGAGCTGATTTTTCAGAGCTGACTTGTGCTGCTCCAGCACATCCCTCAGAGGAACGGTCACATGTTCCCTGTGTTCACCTTCTGTACACTCCAGACACATGGCTGTCTCACATGACTCACAGTAAAACTCCATAACCTGCAGATGGTGCAGTAGAGCACAAGATATATGAACGTCATACGGTCTTATAAAAGATGTTGTTAGTTTGTAACTGATGTGATGACAAATCTAGTCCTTTTGGCTCACCTTCCCCTCGTGGTTGGGACAAGAAAGGGGCTGACAGGTTGTAGCTGCATTGGCCGACTCAAGGACATTGCACGCCTCGGCTCGACTGCATTCTGGGTCTCGTTGTAACACTTCCATTAGGTTTGTGATAAAGAAGTTGTTCTGCAGCGCTGCAACACCCTTCTCGGGCAAGATAGACGTCTGTCTGCATACTGGACAGGAGAGCGTCAAAGACTGGGGAGGGATGTAGTTCTGTAGACACCTGAAATAAAACGAAATAAATTAAAGAGAAATGCAGATGATTCATTACTCGAGGTTGAATGAAAATACAACCGAATTGAATATTGAGAGCTTACTTCTCACAGAACGTGTGCAGGCAGGGCAGAACCTTTGGGTTGTGGTAACGGTCCAAACAGATGCTGCAGACCAAAAACTGCTTGTCTATCTGCCTGACGACAGGGCTGGTGCTGCTGGTCTCACGCTTGGCCATAATGACTGACATTCAAATGGGGAGCGGGGACCACTGAATCTGCACACAAGAAGTGGAAGAAACAAAGGAAATGTTAAGGAAGCCTTGAGGAAATGTTCATACGGGGTGAGAAGGGTGTATTTGCTTGAGCAAACTAAAGGAAGGAATGAGTCATAGTAATGTCGGCAATATAAAACCTCCTTTAAGCCCTGTATCTACTGACATTTTATGCTCCCCCACAGCAAACTATTTCAGTGATGTGAGCCTTTCAGCCACAGGTCATTTGACTTCATAAGTAAAAATTCCCAGTAAGCTACTGCAGTGGGAACCAAAGCATGTGATAAATACTGTACCACAGAGTAGAAAAATTTGACACTCTTTTAAATGACCCAACATTTCTGCTCTCAGATCATTTTATATAAATATTGTACATACTGTACCGTGGTTATAAGAAAAAATTGAGATGCATGATTTGTTTCACTCCTTACAGAGTGTCAGTTTCAATATTTACTTGACATCCAGGATGAGTGCATGTCTTGCTGGGTCTCTCAGATGGCAGAGTTGCTGTCACATGAAACTGTATCACTGGGTCAAGCACAGATTAACTCAATGTGCCTATGACGGGTTGTACATCTGTCATATTGCACATGAGCACGATGTGGATTTACAGAGCAGCTTCACAAACAGTATGTGCTGATATTTTAAGTAAAAACCATGTTAAATGGTGATTTTTGGCCTCATTCTTTTCCAAATTTCTTTGCACCACCAAAAGGAAAATATCACATGAAATATTAGGTTCTTGTAAAATCCAACAAAGTAAAGTCAGGTCCTCTGGACGGTTTCTTTTTGTTGTTGTTGAAATGTTTCATCCTTCATCCATAGGACTTCATCAGTCCAAGGAGCCACAAAAAACTCAGTCCCATAAGTGGTTTACTCACATAGTGGGCCAACTAGTTTTATAGTGATAAAATGGTTTCTGGAGTCCACCCTTTCCCCCCATTGACTCCTCTGAGGCAGCCATAGCCAAAGTGGTTCAAAACATCAAAATTAATGCTCAATAATCCAGGTAAAACATCCAACAAAATTAAGTTGGGTCCTCTGGACGGTTTCGTTTTTTTGTTGAAATGTTTCGGCTTCCACGGACTGATGAAGTCCTTTGGATGAAGGACGAAACGCTTCAATAACAAACAAACAAAAAGAAACTGTCCAGAGGACCTAACTTAATTTTGTTGGATTTTTTGTTTTACCTGGATTATTGAGCATGAACTTTGATGTTCTTATGAAATATTTTTAAATGTACTGTCATGGTTCTTAAAAACAACTTAAAACAAGACAACAACAAAATAATATAAAAAAGATTTAACTCATTTGGTTGATTGATTGGTGATTAGTTGATACTTTGCAGAAATGTAAAAAATATACATATTTTTCAATCATTCAACCTTTATTTAGTCAGGTTAATCCCATTGAGCCTCGGGGACTCATTTACAAGAGAGACCTGATTTCAACAAAGAGTGATGACATCAGTGGACAACAAAGACAACAATAGACAATCATAAAGGATGCGTACAAACTGAGATTTTTTTGTTTGTTTGTTTAACAAGTGAAAATAAAATGGTATTTAAAAGAAAATGTAATTAAAAAAAAACAGCTAGGTTGTAAGACGGTGTAGAAAACTAAAAACAAGAACATGTCCGCATTGTTTTTTCCCAGGAACTTAACAGATGTTTAAAGCCACTTATATTTTAAGAAACACTGAAAATGTATTTTCCTTGTGGCAAATCATGTTGCAAAAACAATCAAACCATGAGGATGTCAAAACGTGACAATAGTTTAGAAGAACTGTACAACTCAAAATCATCTCAACTCACTACACACATAAGACAAAGAGCAGAAATTTTATTTTAAGTTTATCTAATTAGTTTATGGTCATGCTAATAGGGTTAAATGCTTATTTTGAAGAAAATCATGTTCATTTGGTAAAACTAATTTCCAGTTTATAGTGTATGTTTTATATTTTAAAAGAAAATCTGTTGTATGCTTTAAGAGCGGCCTGCCTTACGACTGAAACGTTACATAATGTACCATTCATGGTAATAATCTGCAGTTGTACAGCCATGTATCATTCAAGGTGCTCTTACTGAGAGTAACTTGAGGTTAACAGTATTGCCTAAAAACACATAAAGGGGGGATATTTGGTGTAAACCTTGTCACTAGAGGTCAAACCATTTTAAATGAACCAATAAAGCAGTTTGAGCCTCTACACATCTGGGTTCTCAATGTAAGACTTATAATCTACAATGCTGATGGCTAAAAACTTTAGTGTGCGGCTCAGTTGGGTAGATGAGCTGAAAATGGACACCATGATGACTGTGTCCATCTTTTTTATACAATTATTGTGAAATACACTGTTCTGCTCTATACATTTTTGGGGGGAATTTTGAATTAAACCTTTAAAAAGCAACAGTCTGGAAATGCTAATCTTTTTTTTCCCCTACTCTTTATTTTTTTCATACCTTTCCGGATGGAGATCACATGTTCATTCTGTGCATGTGTGGGTTTTCTCCAGGTTCTCTGGTTTCTTCCCACAGACCAAAATCCTGCTTTTTAGGCTAACTGGTTACTAAATTGTCCCTAGGTGTGAGAGAGTGTGTGAATGGTGGTTTGTCTCTATGTGTCCCAGTGATGGACTTGTGTTGTGACCCATCCAGGATGTCCCCCACATCTCGCACAGTTACGGGCCGAGATAGGGTATAGGGCAGCTGACTCGGGACCCAAAAGTCCCAAGTACGATCCCCAGCCATTCCCACATGTCGTGGTGTCTCTGAGCAAGTCACCTAATCCCTAATTGCTCCCCGGGCGCTTGCATAGAAGCCGACTGCTCCACCCGAGTGTATCCCAGGTGAGATAGGTTAAATGCAGAGAACTAATTTGTCTGGGAACATACAATGATGACAACACATTGCACTTACTTCTGCACATTGGGCACCAGCGACACACAGCGACCCGGAAAGGAAGAAAGGGGTAAAGATAACGGATGGAAAATGCTAAAACCAAATTCCAAACTTTTCAAGACTGCATAGGAACCCTGGACTTTAAACCACAATGGTTTTTGCTAAAATTTCAAAGAGTGAACTTAATCTAAGTATAAAAGAAGAGATCCAGTCCTTGATCTGAAGCAAAAATTAATTAGCTTCTTCTGCTCTGATCTAAATTTATCTGTGTAGTATATTTAAAGTAGTGGACTGAACATTATATCCTGATGCATGATTATCTTTTTTACATCCCTACAAGTTTAATCCTGCACCAACACAACTGTTAGCAGCCCATGATACGGCTGTTTTCTTGCACTAACCTGAGATAAGTCTAACTATCCTGAATCTGAGCTTTTTAACGTTTTTTACTCCTATAAACAATAACTGTACTTTAATAAACGTGTCTAAAACCTTTATTTTTTTAGGGTAAGAAGAGGAAGCACAAAGCTTTACAAGGCCACTCCTCAAATTCCTTCTTGTTCCTTCCCCTGCCTCCAAACAGCAGGCCAAGTTCAGGAACCACCTGTCTGTCTGACCCTCAGTGAGACAGGCTGCCCATTTCACATGCAGAAAAAAGGCCTCTGATGCAGCTGTCCCTGTCTGCAGCACACAGAACAAGCAAGCGCTAACAATAGCATTCCAGTTCTTCTTACAGTCAACCCCATAAAAATGTCCCTCCCTTCATATTTTCCCTTCGTTATTCATTATCCTGTCATTTTTCTTTTCACTCTTTCAAATGTATAGATGCTTTTAAAGTGTCACCAGACCTCAACTCAACCACAAACATCTTATAGATTTTTTTGTCAGACACAGGCTCTATTGTTGCTGCTTCCCAAGCGATTAGAAGGCCTCTGCTGAACTCCTTTCACTGTCCACAGAACAAGCCCAGCCCTCTGAGCCTCCCCCTTTAGCTGCCTCCCCTCTCTGTGCTACTCCACGAACAGTGACATCAGGAGGAAGCTGGATGAGCCAAAGCCCTAAGGCTCCTCCTATGTTGGCGGGCTGGGCTTGGGGATTGCAACAATTCCCCACCACCACCACCATCACCTTTGCTTCCCTTCCACGCTGCCTCTCTGTCCTCCCACCAGCCTGAGTTACTCCCACTTGCTTCACCACAGAAAGATAGTCGTTCTTTATAAACCGTCTCTCCCTGACAGCAGTCCTTAGAAGGTATCAAAGAACTTTAATATACCTTTAAGGTTGGGAGAAACCTAATATCTATGAATCATGACCGAAACAAATACGTATTAGGTCTATTGTTGCTACGCTGTATCCCATTTTCTTTCATTTATCAGAAATCTACAGCATGTAAAGGTCAATAAATTCAGCTGTTTGACTATAAAAGCATTATCTGCCACTCTCACCCTGATTTGCAGTTAAGTGGATTAATGTACTCCTGCGGGGTCAGGTCCAGTCTGCCATCTGGATTACTGAGACTACCAGATTCAGTTGACACCATTACACCCACAACGAAAAATACATTGTTTCCACATTTAAAAAAATCTATAATACATGACTTGCAATGAAACCATAGACTAGATGGTATTTAAGTATTTCATGACGGTATGTTTTTTTTTTCAACCTTTATTTATATAGGTTAGTTCCCATTGAGCCTCGAGGACTCATTTACAAGAGAGACCTGTCTCAGTTGCTTACTTAATTCTTCTGACAATCAGAATGTTTTGTACAAATGCTTTAATTGGATAACATGATCTCACAATTACAGAAAATTGTGTCCTCAGTGTAATCTGACTGTTTACTAGTAGACCATGCAGCTAAGTAGCCCTTTGGGATTTGAGCTCTAAATCAAGGCAGCAGTAAAACTAGTTTTCAATCCAATCACTAAAATCTAATAAATAAAAGCATTACTTCTGTTTCTGATGCATGCTCAATAATCCAGGTAGAAAAATCTAAAAAAGTTAAATCTGGTCCTCTGAATGTCCAGAGGACCAGATTTAACTTTTTTAGATTACTTCTGTTGGGTGAAAATGGTACTTTGTAATTTGTCATTAAAATAAGTTATGC